GTTTACACAATCATTAAAAACCTTATAGAGCCGGTAAATTACAGGGCTGGTAACAAATTTACAGACTGTTCTTTATGCAACCCGCCCATAGTCTTTAGAAATGTAGAAATATAATGAACGATGCCACATTTACTGAATATAACACCTCCTCCAACCACCAATAATTTAAAGAGCTGTACCCTGCGACCAATATCAACGAAAAATAAAAATGTAACGCTWAAATTCATGAAAAAAAATGCTTTTATTAATTCATGATATTTTAATTATATGTTACCATTTGAAAATCAAAAGTTTATAGTGGTTCTAACAATAAATATAAGAGTGATAAAAAATGTTGTTAATAATTCTGTTCGGTTCGGGTTGGCAGTACTTTGACAATATTTGGTTCGACACCGAAAAATAAGGTTCAACCTGAGTCKAATTTTAACAAGTAAAAATCAATAAACAATAATATATCTACCAATACGGTCTGTTTAGCATTTTGTTGTTTTTGTACTGTACTAATCTAAAACTGACTGTTTTTAAGTCACCCTACTGCCCATACTAATATCTCACTAGTTAWTAACACAAWTCATTTTACKTAAAATATTTATACTTTAAATGAACAATTATAGTAGATTTGATTTAATGCTTTGTCACAAAATTATAAAGGTTAGGTTTGTCTCAATTGTACGTCGAATATGGATAGTCAAACTATCACTTCGACTGAATGTCATATATATCTAACAGGTATTGCTTAGGTATCTCCTGTGTGAGTCCGCTGGTGAGTCGCCAGATGGCAATTTTGATTAAACGACTTGTCAAATATGTTACACGACAACGATTTCTCCCCTGTGTGCGTCCTCGAGTGTACTATCAAATTGCTACTTACGCWGAACGACTTGTCACATATGTCGCACGGGTACGGTTTCTCCCCTGTGTGCGTCCGTCGGTGTATAGTCAAGTTGCCTTTTCTATTGAATGACTTGTCACATATGTCGCACGGGTACGGTTTCTCTCCAGTGTGCGTCCTCAAGTGCACAATCAAATTGTTCCTTACACTGAACGACTTGTCACATATGTCGCACGGGTACGGTTTCTCCCCTGTGTGCGTCCGTCGGTGTATAGTCATGTGGCTTTTTTGATTGAATGACTTGTCACATATGTCACACGGGTACGGTTTCCCTCCAGTGTGTGTCCTCAAGTGTACTATCAATTTGCTCCTTACGCTGAACGACTTGTCACATATCTCGCACTGGTACGTTTTCTTCCCTGTGTGCTTCAGAGGGTGTATTGATAGTTTGCTTTCACTGTTGAACGAATTGTTAGACACGTTGCATGGATATTCTGTTTTGTCCACGTGTATTTTTTGGCTACTGTTAAGATCGTCCATTTAAATGTTTTT